TTAGACCTTGGTAGGACTTCTGACTCCTTATGAGACCTTGCAACTGATGGATAATGTTGGAGATTTTTTGGTTAAAGGTTATGAATGTTGTTATTGTGTTTTCATATTATGGCTGAGAACATCTTTCTCTCTGCCTTGAGAACATGCTGTCCACTAAAACAATCTCTTATCTTGGCCTGGAGTCAGCTCACCTACTCGCAGTGCCTCCTTGGCGCTGTCGCCATGAGAATATGCCCAAAACATTCTCTTATGGAGGCCGACTCACCAACGGACATAAAAAAATGTCTGTGCAGCTGACTGCATCTGGCTGCAGGAGGAAACACCCATGAAATCTGCTGCTGGATAATCATAATCAGAATAAACTTTACTGGCAATGCACCGAGATACAACGAGTAATAAAAGTCTGCAGATGAGTCAGTTTGAGGCTCATTCTGAGACATTGTTTTCATGCATATGCACGCATGTATGTAATCTGTTTTGAATAGGTCCTTGCAAGTAAAGTGCCAGTTGAAAATCTTCACATGCCGCTGAGTGTGGTTCTTTTGAGTAAACAATGTTAGTGAATGATAGAATTTCTCCAAAAAGTAAGATTTAAACAACTTGAGAGTTGTTTTGAAATATAACACTTTGCTTTTTGTACAGCTTTACCTCCTGCGGTTTGTATTCTTTGTTTAGCTTCTGTTGGTTTTGTGTCAAACAAGTCCACTCTTTGAAACTTGGCATTCATACAACTACAATGTGACGATGTGTATTCTCTTTAGGTATTGCTTCAGTGCCATGACCCATGTGATTTAATTTTTTATTTTATTTATTTATCTTTATTTAACCAGACAAATCCCATTGAGATCACAGATCTCTTTTGCAAGGGAGGCCTGGACCTGAAGGCAGACTAACATGCATGTTTTTTGGTCTGTGGGAGGAAACGGGAGTACCCAGAGAAAACCCACGCAAGCATGAGAAGAACATGCAAACTCTACACAGAAAGACCCCAGGTCCAACCGAGAATTGAACCCAGGACCTTCTTGCTGTGAGGCAACAGTGCTAATCACTGAGCCGCTGTGCTGCCATATGTCATATTTTTATATCATATTTTACAACAGCAGTGCTTTTTGTTTGTTTTGTGAGGCTTCTTTGGACATCTAGTTTGGCCTAGAGCGCAAATTAATAAATACATAAATAAGTAAATAACTAAATGTGTTTTTTTTTCTAAAGGCAGATCGCTTTACAAGTGGCAAAAACATAAACAATAAAAATCGAAGTAGATTTCTGCTAAAATTAGTAAATATTTCGTTAAGATGCATTCATATTTGTAATTGAGCATTATTTTTTCATATTTAAGGCAGTAGTATTATGAAAAACCTATTCATTTTAAAGAACTTGACACCATGGAGGTTTGTGATTTGTATTATAAAAATGTCTTTATCACTGTGATACAAGCACAATCTGCTGTAGACGTATGGTTTAATAACTGCTTGGAACCAAAATACTGTTCTCAATTTTGCCAGAGGGAAATCATGTTAGAGTTGTTTTCATAAATTTTATTGCACTAATGCTACAATAATCACTGGCGTGACAGTTTTATACAATGTATACATTTGGAAATAATGTGACCTGCAAAATACAATTGTCAGAGCTGAGAATGGGATATTCATACTTTCTTGATTAAGTATGAGGGCCATAAATTTGTAACACCGTTATTAGTTAACTGAGGTGATGCACACAGAAGGGAAGAAAGCAATAAAAACACTACAGTAGTCCCTCGTTTATCGCAGGGGATCTGCACCCTGAAGCCCCGTGATAAGTGAAAAACCGCCAAGTAGGAATAGTAGTACAAGTAGTAAGTAGTAGTTTATTTTAGTATTTATACTGTATATATACATATATTAAGGTGTTTAAAACCCTTCCCACACTCTTACAATACTCTAAACAACACCTCTAGATGCAGGAAGAGGGCTACCTGCATCATGAAGGACCTCACTCACCCAGCACACACACTTTTTGCCCCACTCCCCTCAGGAAGGAGGTTGAGGAGAATTAAGTGTAGAACCACTAGACTGAGGAACAGCTTCTACCCTGAGGCTGTTAGACTCATGAATCTCTAACTAGAATAATCACTCTGAAAAACCATATCATGTTGCTGCTGATCTGTTTCATGTTGCTGCTGATCTGTTTCAATGTTGATGTGTTCATGCGTGCACATCTGCTCACACAGACATCTCCATGTTTGTGCTGATGTTCAATGTTTTTGTTATGAGTGCTTAGTGCATATTTAGTTGATGTTTTTCTTAGTTCATATCTTAGATGTCATTTCTGTTTTTCTTATACATTTTATTGTTGGATGTAACTGGGACCCTGTGTACATAATTTGCTCCACCACATGTACCACATGAGGTGCGAATGACAATAAAGAATCTCTGACTCTGACAATGTTTCTAAACTCTAAACGCTCTAAAAGAGCACAGAATGTCATGATTTCAGCACCCTGCCTTCACTGCTCTTGGCCACGCCCACTTCTCCTGGCAGAGTGGAGATCAGCTGATCAGCTGCAAGAGGGAGCTCCAGAGTTGTGGGCTGCACAGAGGTGCAGCAGTTGCTAAATAGTTTTAAATTATTTATTTTAAATAAAAATTCCATGCTTATCGTGCGGCTCATCCATCAATCAGCCAATTGTGTGTCATGTCCACTCTTACTTTGAAAAACCACGATAGAGCAAGTCCGCGAAGTCAAACTGCAAAGTAGCGAGGAACTACAGTAAAAATGTAGTATATATATATATATATATATATACTTATATATATATATATATATAAGTATATATATAT